GAAAATCAACTGCAATTCACATTTTGAACAATATCTTAAGCAAAAATAAGAACACGGGTTGAAACATATTGCTTAGTACTTTAGGGATAGATATATTTTTCTAACTATCATTCAACTTACTTTTTAATTATACCACCAATTTATTACATTGCCATCTCAAAGCCCTTTACTGAGTCAGTTCAGTCAAAATCATCCTAACAGATTGATTGAAAATAATAAAAAATCTCTATAAACCCAGTAGATGGTATGGACTCACATGTAACACAGTGGAAAGGAGACTCCCTTATCACAGGTAGAAACCTCCAGCAGAACCAGTCACTCTGTAAAAGGCTATCTGCCACCACTGAGCAGAGCATTAATGAAGATTATCAGATCTAAGCACAAACAAAGCAGCACCAAAGCGACAGGCATTATGCGTACAGGCACACACTAAGGAAAAAAACATTTTTGGGAAATGAAAATAAAAACAAGACTACACAAGATGGAAAAGGTAGCTGTTGAAAAAGTATACTCAGTTTGAAGAATTATGCAGCTGAGTAGGAAGATGGGGAAAAAGGATGGGAATAGATATAGATGGATACTGAACGAAAACCTTGTAAACTGTGACAAACGGGGGGCAGAGTTTAACCAGTTTGCCAATGAACATTAAATTGAAAATGTAACGGTCAATTTATGAGATTGTGTTTTACTATTATCAATAATTGATATGATACTAATGTGAGATATGAAAATGTATAAAAGAAAACAACTTTGTGTTTTTTATACATTTTTTGGTAAGGGCGACACCATGTTTATTCTAAGCAGTTGGTTGGCTCTGTATCAGCCAGTGTAATACATTGGTAATATAGCTATACCTCACAACCGTAAAACACTTAAGAAAGTTACTATGATGGACGATGAAGGTGAGAGGACGCTCAAAGGTCCAAATCAAATTGCTTATGCTTTAGAATAATTAATGTTTCTACTTGGAGGTCCTTTAGGGGCAGCATGACCACCTCCAAAATGTCCACCTCTTGGCACAGCGATCTAAATATAGAACACTGGCAATAAACAACTTGCTGCGCAGTACGTGATCCAGCCGTGAACAGCAGCTACAACAGGTAGCATTGTCGACTCGCCTCACCCCAAACACATGTACCAGTGTCAGATTTTTCTACCGTAGAACGTCCAGATAGCTTTATCTATCTACTGTACAACCTTTGACATGCTATCAGTCTGCGCATTTCCACAAGGTAGGGCAGATCATCTGGTAGCACGAATAGTCAGGCTCCACAGCTGCCTGTTCTCTTCTTTCCTTGGCAGGAGTCACACGCTGAATGAGCTCTGAAGCCTAAGCAATGTGATTTAGACCTTTGAGGGTCCTTTTAGCTTCGTCTTTCATTAAACCAAATTGTTTTGTACACTTTAGAGGTATCGCTGGTATTACCAATGTATTCAGTTGGTAGCTACGTAACTAACAAACCCTGTGATGTCACCACTGGGAATACTGCAACATACAGTAGCGGTTGGCTTACCAAAAAAATTAGAAAACAATTCTACGTCTTTTTCTTTTCAATTTATATTTTTTTAAGTTTGTAAATGTAGTCATTAGGAATAGTGAGACACAATCTCGTAAATTTAGTTTAAGAGCTGCAATAGTATGGTTTAGGTTAAAGTGAATGGTAAACTGTTAAACTTGATGTAAACTCTGTGGAGGAACAGCCTTTTTGAACTACAGGATTAACTAATTCAAAGCCTGTATGGAGGCTCCCAAAAGCTTCTCAACAATTTGCAACTTGAAAGGTTTTTTTGTCCAAGGATAAATGGCCAAAAATTTTAGTCTGTTTGCAAAGCTGTTAGTGTCCTGCAGCTGCAGGCTTAGCAAAACAAAGTTTTAGAAACGGTCAAGTCTGAGGGTCTGAGTAAAAATACTTTGATTTTGTTTTATAACAAAGTGAAAAGCTCCAGCCTTCCACATTGCAGTTATGTACTTCATTGTGTTGGTATTTTAGATCAATTCACTTAAAACATTAACATTTAGGGAGGTAAGGAAACAATGGGAGAATGCTGTAAATCCTTTACTGTGGCAGTATTTTCTGACCTCTGGCATATAAACTGCTCTGATGGACTGTGTGATATATTTATTTTATCCTGGCTTTGTTATATTTGAATGTTGAGTAAAAATACGAGGATTTTATTAAACAGTCTTTCGGAGGAGCTTTGTGTTCCGACCTAAACTCACCCTGATCGATGCATCTGTACAATATGTCCACCGATTACAACTTTATTTACAGCCTTCCTTCCATCTGTGTTTATTTGAAAGCCAGCTCACCAAATCTGGCCTGGTGTAAAGTAACCCCTCTCCCACAGACGTACACTCATGGTTAATATCCCTCAACTGCTCTCCATGCTTCTGCTAAAGCCCCACGGCTGCTCTCACACGCTTCCTCCACCAAAGCGTCTGCCAGTCCTCCACACCGGTTCCCTGTCTCCCGTCTCCAAAGCCCAGACTTCTATTCCCCCTGTGCCCTCTTTATTTGGAAAGTATTGTAAACACGGTCAATGCCAATATGGCCCTGCAGGACAAAAAGCGGTTCTGAATCGAGGTTAAGTGTAATGTTTTCTGTGGGACGTGCAGTCGCTTACAGAGTGATGGTGAGCAGAACGTTTGGAAGAATGGTTCCCTTGGCTTGGAGTGTTGATTGCTTTTGATGGCTCTGTACTTGTGCTGAGTAGAGGAAAGCGATAGGTTGTTTTTAAAATGCGTCACATGTACAAATATGTTTGGATGGGTATAAGAAAATTCTCATAAATGGATCTTTCCTTCCTCTGTGTAGCGCTGATATGCTGCTCCCTGTGGGATCTCTAGGTTTACTGAAAAGCGAGTCTCTGTATAAACAATCGGTTTCCTCTATCAGCTCTGGAGATGACAGCTAAGTTTCAATCAGTCATTCTCGTATACATTGTTTCCTTCAGTGTTTTTTCTTACATGTTTTGAAACTTTGATCATATTTCTGTGAAATCTTTAGGTTTTCAGAAGAATTTGTTTTTTTTTTCATAGCAGCATTTTTAGTGATTGTTATTTTGTGATTTGCAAAATATTTGAGCTTGGAGACAAAAACTGCAAAGCCACATATTTCCTTCTGTCCCCTGAGAGGAAGAGGGGGAAAGTGCTTTGAGGTTCAGACAGGACCCATGACCTTGTTGCTTTATTATTCTTTAGACGCTTGCATTGAAGGTGTTGAAATATTGAACAGAACACGAACGCGACGGTGACTGCCATGTTTCCTCTTTTTTTTTGTCCCCATCCAAGCTGAGGATTCAGTCGCGCTTGGCTGTGGTGGGATTGTTTAGACTGACACCTTGAACCATAACGTTAGTCAGAGAAATTTGTGAGTTTACTTTCTGATAAATGTGCTTTCAGCACGTCTCTCGCTCCCTCTCTTTGGCATGCTTACTGATGTCCATGCATTTGGTGATTTAAACACTTGGTACTCTGTTTTTTGATTTATGATTCTGACTTGGGGTGGGATAAGTCAAATCAGTGATTTTTTTTACATCATGAGGTTCTCTCCTTGAACTGTGTGTTTAATGGCTTCTTTCCAGTGTCATACTGAGAGTTCTTGCTTCCTGAGAATTTTGAATTATTAAAATTCTACTAGCTTTATCTCTACTTTCTTTGCTTTCATTACTATAATATATATTTTTTATACTTCAGTACATTTAAGTACATTTTTTTATACTTCAGTAAAAAAATTTTTTCCAAATACAGCACGTTTTCTTCAACCTGTATTTCTGACCTCTCGCATTTAAACTAAACTCACATTGATTTTTTTGCTTCATCTTGAATTTAGGCTAAGTTAGCTGCTGTGTTGTTTTCGTCAACAATGACGATAAAGAAATCATTTCGTTGATGCTTGTATAGGCTAATATGAATTGTAAAAAAAAAAAAAGGATTTTAGCTAATAAGACCATTAACTCTTAAGTTATTTATACCCCTGGCAGGAGTAACTTTAATCTAGACAACATATGTCTTCTGACTGCTGGTAATATTATTGTTTTGTAGCAGCTCAGCTTGTCATGACTTTAAGAGTCATTTGGAAAATCTGTGGGAAGAGCTAAAAAATAATGTAAGAGCAATGAGACCTTTGGTCCTCTAGGTCGAGGCTCTCAAACCCCCATCCTCAAGATCTATTCTCCTGCAGGTTTTAGATGAATGTCTGCTCCAACACAGCTGAATAAAATGACTGAAGTACCTCTTCAGCATGCCATTAAGTTTGGCAAAGGCCCAGGAACAAGCAATTCTTTCGATTCAGCTGTGTTGGACCAGAGATGCATCTAAAACCTGCAGCCAAATATATCTTGAGGACCAGAGTATGAGACTCCTCCTCCAGATCCTCCCCATTAAATCATCAAAATAACAAAGTAAATGGCAAAAAACTGCTCTGCTATTTGCCCTTTTTCTAATGAAATATAATTCAGCTATAAGTTTGAATGAAAATATTTCCACATCTCAATCTTTGAGGGCTTTGAATTATTTCAGGTCATTTCTTCCCTAAATGCAGAAGAAAGCAGTAGTTTTAGAAGTCTCATAACATCTTTTGTTTACGGTTATGAAATGGAAGTAGAAGAGGGACGAAGTACACTGCTTCTACACGTTAACATTTCTTTTTTCTACACTGTAGGAACATTAAGCATTGAATATTAAACGGGTATTAAAATGAAAGCTGGTATCTTATAATGCAAAGAAATCTGCAGGTAAACAGGGTGAGGCTGTACATGCTGTGACCCTGACCACCATGAAATCTACGTCTATAGCTGAGATTCTCCTGCTTTTACAGGACCATGGTGATGGAGCCAAAGCCATATTTTAGAAGTGCCCTTTACCTTTGGTTTTAATGCACATTTTAATCCAGTGACACAGACTTCTCTCTTCGAGAGTCATGAGAACAGAATAATTTGGCCTTTTTTTCATTAGCTATTTTATTCCTGGTACTTATTTACCCTTGGTTGTCTTGCAGGAATGGCAGAACTCCATCCAGAAGAATGCTGGCCTGGCCTTTATCGAGCTGGTCAACGAAGGCAGGTAGGTTGAACAGAGCATTCAGCTCTCTATTTGGAGCAGAACGTCATTATCTTAAGTTCTTCATGGTTTATGGAGATCACATGACGGTCCTCCAAGGGCCCCAAAGATCTCCTGGGCTTGCCTGTGATGGTGTGACTTTTCTGGGCTGTGGGCAAAAATCTATGATCTGATAGAGCAGTTTTAGAGTGAGAGTGAGGATGGAGAACCTGTGAGTTCAAGGCTCCATTCAATACCTGCTCATCCCACAGGGATTTGGGAAACGGAGAGAGGTTAGGCAGAAGGTGACAGGAGCTCTGATTGCTGGTTCCTCTGTGACACCAGGGGAAATCACTCTTGATTTTCCCACCGTCCATCTGTCAGTTCATGTCCCCTTCTCAGCCTTTATCTATTTGTAATAATTTCTTCTGTCTAAATGTCTTTTGTCTCCAGATTCAAGATTTTTTTTTTTTAAAGAAGTAACATTCATTCGCTCTCCATTTCCTGCTCTGTCTACAGACTTCTTATCAGTTCCTGATTCCCAACGGCCCTCTTTCTCCCACTGAGCCATATATTTGCAATCGGCAGATCCTAATCCTTCTTTAATTTAACTAGATTAACAGGACAGGCCATTGACATGGACAGGAAAGGAGTTTGAATTTACTTGAAGGGGTTTGCTGTTATCCCATCTTGGATAGTAATTACTGGTCACAGTTGCTTCTCTTAAAAGTGAGAGTCCAAAGCAGATCAGACCTTTATTTATCCCTTAAAAAAAAAATCATTGATTTGATTATGTTTTATAAAATTCTTTATAAGCTGTTTAACATTAAAAGTTGCTTTCAGTCTGCTATTAAAATCTCAGCCTCAGTCTAAACAATTTCAGAAAGAACTTATTTTATATGATGTTTTTCTATGTAATTGTGAAAGTTTTATTGTCACAATTAAGTTATTAATTTCAAATAGGTTTTTAGTATGCACAGCAGAAAAAATTGTGTTTTCTTTTTGTTCATGTTGATTACACATTTACATTTTAGAATAAGTTCAGATTTTCTCCTTCAAAAATAACTTTATCATTCATTTTCTGTTAAAATTATAGTTTACAGGCTATATACCAATAAAATCTTAAAGATCCCCACAGATAACCAAGCCTTGGATCAGCCCAATATTCAGACTCGCTTTTAAATCTTTAGGTTTTGATTCATAGTGTGGCCCCTAATGTGAACCCCTGGGAGTTAGAAAAGGCTTCATGTTTTTTTTTGCAAACAACAGACACCAAGTAAGAAACCACAATGCCTAAAGGTCCGAACAGAAACCCAGCTCTCACAGCGCTCAGTCTTCACTTTCATCTAATAGAAAATCAAGACATGTAATTAGGAGCATGATATTAGCTTTCCAATCATAAATGCAAAAGTTAAATAGTCTAGGCAAACTTAATCTACTCTTTAAATGTTAAGAGACACTTTGATGAGTACTGAGGAGAGGAGTTAAAGAATAAATTGCCATCCTACCAGCTTTATGGTGTGCTCCAACATGTAACCATTTTTTAAAGCACTTTAAAACAGCCGTAGACTATATTTCGTAACGAATCTGTTTATCTTTCGAGTAGTTTTCTGGTATCTTTTGAAGGTCAGCCCAGCTTCACACAGTAACCACATGTGCAAGCATTGTCAGGACATCATAAAGAAGGTCAGTTGTTGCGTTATTGATAGTGAGGCCAAGTACTGCCACGCGGGTTATGGAGGTGAAGGGGCCCGGTGCCTCTACTCCCCTGCTGCACTGTGCTGAAACAGCAGGCTTAGGTTACAGTTGTCCTCCAGCCTCTGAACTCCATTCCCTCCTCCAGCCTGCCCCTCTGCTCTCCTCCCTGTCCTTCATTCTGTTATTGTTCCACTTTGCTCAGCTCTGACCTGTGGAAAGTTTTCTTTGACCTGCACACTAACATGCATGAACATCACATACGTGTTTCATCAACATTGATAAGGGGAGGGAGGTAGAGTACATGTGTTCGGACACGGCAGAGATCCCCCCTCTTGTCAGATGTGTATCATTAACAAATCAATTAGCACCTGCTTACTGGGACAAATCTGGTTTGCTTTTGTTTCCAAATTAGATTTTCTGCCCTTTCTGCATGGTTCTTTATGAACATTTTACGGATGTTACATGGCTGCTTTTTCAAGCCAATTTAAGTATATGAACCTGTTGTAAATATTCTCTAGCCCATGTGTTTTGCCTCAGTAACTCTCCTTATTGACATCCTTATTTTGCTTTCTATACATTAAGGAAATTAAATGTACTTTCACAGTTTAACTGATGACCATTTGCTCCCTTCTTCAGGCTTCTGAGTCACACAATGAAGGACCACCTGGTTCGTGTTGCGAATGAGGCAGAGTTTATCCTGAGCAGACAAAGGGCTGAAGATATTCACAAGCATGCAGAATTTGAGGTGAGATTTGTGATGGATACCTGTGTATGGATTTATACCTTGATTCACCACTGATGGTGGTCAGACGACCTTGTGATTTCAGTGCAAATCAGCATTGCTTCTGTCGGGTTGCCCCAGGGCAGCTGTGGCTACAGTGTGGCTTGCGGCCATCAGTGTGAATGTATGCATCAATGGCTGAATGATGTGTGAAAAGTTTTGTAAGCCTCTCACTGGAAAATGAGCTTTATAAGTGCAGGTCATTCAGCCTTTTAGATCATTTCGGTAGAATAATCTATTCAGATATTGCAAAACATAAGAACATTTTTGGAGCTTTCTATATATTTTATGTTGAATATTATTTGATCAACCAAGAAATAATAGAACATACATGTAAAGTGAAAGGACATTACAAACTCTTTGGAGTAATTGTCAAATACGAAGTTGAAAACTTTGGTCTGCAATAGAATGTTTCAGTGCAATGATGGTATTATGGGTGGATGTCTAAACCTAAAGTATTTTCCTTCTTCTGTTTATAAGCAGAGCTGGTATAGTATAGTACCTCTAAATGCACTAAAGAAAGAACTGCACTGCTTTTACATATTTTTACTCCAATAAAAGTAACCATCCCTGATATAACTTCCGAGTGAAACAAACATTCGGTTAAACAGAATCAAGTTCTCAGTATCTCATGGTAATATTTGGTTTGATATTTAGAAATTATGTCATCATACTGACAACAATATATATTTTAGAAATTTAAGTAAAAAAAAGGGATAGAAAAATTTAATTATTGTAAAGTAACACATGAGAACTCTATTTTCACTTCCTTCACTACCTCCACTGGGCCCAGCAAGTAGGAGGTACAGCAGAGATCAGTTGTTCATATCCTGGCTGCATCCTCTGCATGGCTTGAGACAAACTGCATCTGGGGGCTCTTACTTCTTTTTCTAATGATGGAGTTTTTCAAAGTCTCTCTCACCTGAGCTGTAAATCTCTGCAAATCCTTCAAGTCCCAATAAAATATGTAGAAGTTTTGGATTTCACTTGTTGTGATGATACTCATAATTGTGTATCTTTACAGTTATACAATTTTACTTTTTTTTTTTTTCATAGCAAGAGTCTAAAACTTAAGTGATTTTCTGTCACCTGGAAGATTATTTTTTAAACATGACCTGGCCTAATAATGAACTTTCCTCCCAGCGTTTTTGATTGTGGTAGTCATGGTTGACGCTTATCCCAAACCAAACACTGTATATTTAATTTAGCCATCGCCTCAGACTTGTCTAGAAACATGACTTTTTCCTCCTACTGGTTCCAAGCACAAACACTGCCATTCAGCCGTAGCTGCAGGACCAACTCCATCCTGACCCCCGGGCGTTCAGCGCTGCCCTCTTCCTCGTCAGTTTACTGCACTCCACCCTCTGCTTTCTGAATCGCACCAGAATCATTTCCTGTCCTGCTGGGATCCTGTCCATTATACTCCCACTGGGGGTGTATTTTGGTAGTGACAGGGATATGGTCCCCTCCCCTCTTTTCATCCCTGCCTCGCTCGTTTCTCAGAAACCTGCCGACACTAAAAGCTGCAGACAGAGTGAAGAGGTCCTGGCCTGAAGAACTGACTGTGTGTAAACCTACCTTTTTTTTTAAGGTTCAGGGCAAGGGCTCTTTTACATTTGAGGAAATCAGTTACTCATAGATGTTGAAAGTTAGAAGCATTGTGGGATATCCTCTGGTTTTTGGAAGGAGTCCTTATGTTTCCAATCATTTTCTGTTCAGCGTTCATCTTTAACGGCGTTGTCAGGGAAGCATAATCTTCATTTCTTCTTGACATTAATACAGGCCTTAAACTCTGTAAGAAATGTGTGCTTGTTATTTGAGATATAATAAATTTTAGAGACTTTCCATACAGAAATAGTTTTTAGACAGATGCTGTAAAATCCTGCTGTCTCTTTGACCTTCTAATTAGATAATATACTCTAATTTGGCTCCTAATGAACACTCAGGGATTACGTAGCTCCTTCTCATAATGTAACATACAGTTAGTCCCTCAAGTTTATAAAAATTTTATAAAAATGTTATGAAATATCATTGGTTCTCTTTCATTTTCATACATAGAGTTTGTTTGTTCATAATGATTCTGTCTATTTATGTGCAGAGAGTTGAAGGAACAGTAAAGTACTTTCAGTCTTGGGCAAAATGAACGACATCTTTAGTAGATTACATCTTAACTGAATTATTAGGTTGTACTTGAATGAATCAGAAGGCCCTTACAACAGTGTCTTTAGGAAAAATTGGACGAAAGGAAGAGATGTGTGGCTTCAAAGCATTGAGAAACCAAACAGAGTAATTACATAAACACCCTTCTGCAACTTTCAAACATCATAATAGATAGATCATATCTTAGGCTTGTTTTGTAGCTGAGCAGCTGGGTACATTAGTCACTAACTGGACCAAAAAATTCCTCTGGAAACCAGACAGCCCTTAAGTGGGCTGTCTGTCCAGCAACTGAATCTTGGTGGCATCAGGGACATTTTCAGCACTTTATCCGAAAAAAACCAAAGCAAGTTTTTTAGATTAGATTAGATGAGCTTTATTGATCTCACAGCGGAGAAATTCACTGGTCACATGTTGGCATAATAATTAAAAAAGGTGCAAACAAGGAGGAGAGGATACATTAAGAATAAACAATATATATACAGTATATCAAGGTATATACAATGTGTAGAGGAATAAGAGAAGTTCGTTTCGGTGGTCTAGTCAAAGTCTCCCCCTCTAACTGATTACATTGGCATACAGCCACCTCCAATGAAAGCTACTAATCCATTTACCACTACAAATATCCACTAAGCCAAACTCTGAGCTGAAATTCTACAAGCATCTCCTCTGGTTTGAATTCACCTAAAAACCCTCTGGTGAAATTGTATTTCTGTGAGGCAGTCCACTGCTTTTAACCTGCTCAATAACATAAGTCTAATGCTAGCAGTGCTGACTGCTGCAGCTGATCAGACATATTTTAAAGTATACCCGGCAACAATGTAGGGTGAAAAGTTTTGGTTTGTTGTGCTAGCTGTAAAAAAGGTTAATATATATATTTGGATTGTATTTTTTACCTTCTGCCGACCTCTCGAGCTTTTCATCCTTTATCAGATTTTCAGCAGAGGGTGTCTCAAACTATGTTTCACAATTGAATTCCCTTCTTAAATGCAGTTGCTCCTCTGTGACCTCTGCAAAGAAGTGAGTCCCTGATAAGTCTTGCTCTGATATTGCTGTATTGATTTTTGCCTCTATACAGACTCTGTTTGAGCCTGCTGGAGCCAGCGGTTTCATTTCGCTGTTCCCCAATAAAAATAACAGGCCAATGACCACCCCCACACTCCCCCCCTCAAACATAGTTTTCAGCTGTGTTGCTGTTTTAAAGCATTGTCTCCCTTTAAATGGTTTCAGAGACATAGGCTTGGTTATTGTTTGCCTTTTGGAGAAATCAACCTTTTAAACCTGCCTCAACTCATTGCCTTGCACTGCATTTTTCCGGGATACACACAGGAAACTGGCGGCGAGAGAATGCAAGAAAGCTGTATGTTATACAACAGCAGTCATTTCAAAAGGAAAATAATTCAAAACATTAAAACAAATTTATGTTTCTTTCTTGTCAGATTTCATATCCTTGAAGGCGGTGATAGAGGGGCCTTTTGATTTAGATACTCTTTTGCCTCAGAGAGCTAACATATGCTTTTCTCCTCTCTTCCTCTCTTTCTCGGCTCTCTGCGGACCAGAATTGAGTTATCTTTAGCCAGGAGAGTAAGTTATTACAGTGGGCTCAGGGTGAAACAGAGATGAAGATAACTAGGGGCAAATCCAATTACCTTTTAGGGTTCTCTATCTAATAGGATCCTTAATGTGAAGGAGATCTGCAGATCGGAGGCTCTGGTCCAGCACGGCGAATGATAGACGGATATCTTGCACAGAGGGAGAGTAAAGATGAGGCCTTTGAGATAGAAAGGAAGAGGGAGAAATCGAACTCCCTTTTTTTATGGGGCTGTTCATTAGGGATGAAATGTGGTGGGCTCAGGGGCACGAGGGCAGATAAGAAGGGCTAGATAGGGAATAGTGAGCAAGACCCAAGTAATTTCTATTCTTTCTCACCTTACTTGTCTTTTCTCCTCGGCCTCATCCTTTTCTCATATAGCCGTTGATTCATCTCCTGCTGTTATATGGAGTAATCGAATTGACTGTTGGAGAGATCCTGAAAGCCAGATGATGGCAGCTAATTACTGTTCGGTGTCTCAGTGTTTCTTCTGCTAGGCCTGTAAAATGAGCCAGTCCATCTCTCCCTGTTAATGACATTAACATTGAGCTGAAACTCATTATATTGTGTTATCGTAGTCAAGCTTTAGCCATCAGGCAGGGTAAAAAATAATCCACATGAAGGAAAACAGTTTGATAGTTGGAATTGGTGTATTGTTCAGAAGATTTTAGAGAGACTTTTTAAAATCCTTTCATTCCTTAAAGAGAAAGTTTACGGGTTCTTTAAACCAAGAAGAAACCTCATGCCACACTTTGTAATCTTATGTTTTTTATTTGACTGCTTACACAGTGTAGGACCTAAAAAAAAGCAATAGTTACATTGTAAGACTGCAAGGAAGAAAGCTTCTCCTTCAAAAACAAGCATTGCTAAGGATTTACTGTAGGCATTTTCTGGAAGCATTAAAAGTCCTGACAAATCAAGAACTTTTGTAATGTAAAAGTAATAGAATTCCCATAACACAACAGTATCATATCATGTAGCTGTTTTGTTCTATCTTAGCCAAGGAAACCCCCCAAGCAGTATGTTTTGAAACCCAAATATGAACTGGAAAAGTCAAGGAATTGGTTAAAGAATTATTCTTATTAAGAAAATGGGTATTTTTAGTTTCTAAAACATTGGTCACCTGCAAATAAAATTCTCTGGATGGATGAACAAGTCTTGTTTTGAAAAAAAAAGAAAAAAAAATACTCAACGCTATAGGTTTAAGGCTCTTATA